AGGGAGAAAAGCAGAGGAGGTGAAGGTAGGGAGCGGCTGGAGGAGGGGATAGATCTCGTGGGACCTTCTTGGTGCTCCAGGGCTTTTGCCGGATCACCCAAGGGAGGTGGGCAGAAGAGGGCCAGGCCTGACTGGGGCTCACTGGCCCTCTGGTGGCTGATGGGGGAAAACAGTGGTGAATGCAGGAAACCTTGGATCAGGAAATGAGGGCTGATGGGACTGCGCTGATCTAGATGGGTAATGAGGGGGCCCCAGCAAGCTGGAGTCAGCAGAGGGGTGACAGGAAATGTTAACTACTCACAAAAATACAAGTCAATATTCTAAGACTAATCCTCATCCTCCTGGAGCCTGCTTTCCCCGGTGAGATGATAGACGAGATGATTAACAAGAAAGTGCAGCTATGTAACGCTGTGGTAAAAATCAAGCCGGGAAGAGAATCAAACATGGAGGGGTTTAAGCTGGCTATAGGGTGGCCAGGGAAAGGCTCGTGGAGGGTGACGAAGTGCTGAAAGAGCACTCTAGGGGAAGAGACTTCCAGCTGGAAGAAACAGCCTGTGCAAAGGTCCTGGGGCAGAACCATACCCCGCATGTGGAGGACTAGCGAGTAGGCCCACGGGACAGGGGGGTAAGGGGAGACCATGAGATAGGTTGTGTGGGGCCTTGTGGTACAGGGAGGACGTGGTCCTTTACCCAGACCCAGGTGGGAGCCCTGGGATAAAAGATGGGGGTTCTGAAATGACCGAGCTAATGTGGGATATAATTAGATCTAGCTTTTACCAGGGTCCTCATGGTTGCTGGGGGAAGAGAGGAAGGATGGAAGCAGAAAGAATACTGAATAATAAGAATAATAGTCATGACAATAACAACTCGTTGTTGTTATTATTGTTGTTATTCAACCCTGCCCTAGGATGGCCGGGGTTGAGGGGGGCTCTCCCCATAACTGTCTGTGTGCCCCGGCCCCTTCTCTCTTTAGGCCAGTCTGGAGCCGGCAACAACTGGGCCAAGGGCCACTACACGGAGGGCGCCGAGCTGGTGGACGCCGTCCTGGACGTGGTGCGCAAGGAGGCGGAGAGCTGCGACTGCCTGCAGGGCTTCCAGCTGACGCACTCGCTGGGCGGCGGCACGGGCTCCGGCATGGGCACGCTGCTCATCAGCAAGATCCGCGAGGAGTACCCCGACAGCATCATGAACACCTTCAGCGTGGTGCCCTCGCCCAAGGTGTCGGACACGGTGGTGGAGCCCTACAACGCCACCCTGTCCGTGCACCAGCTGGTGGAGAACACGGATGAGACCTACTGCATCGACAACGAGGCGCTGTACGACATCTGCTTCCGCACCCTGAAACTCACCACGCCCACCTACGGGGACCTCAACCACCTGGTGTCGGCCACCATGAGCGGGGTCACCACCTGCCTGCGCTTCCCGGGCCAGCTCAACGCCGACCTGCGCAAGCTGGCCGTGAACATGGTGCCCTTCCCGCGCCTGCACTTCTTCATGCCGGGCTTCGCGCCGCTCACCAGCCGCGGCAGCCAGCAGTACCGCGCCCTGACGGTGCCCGAGCTCACGCAGCAGATGTTCGACGCCAAGAACATGATGGCCGCCTGCGACCCGCGCCACGGCCGCTACCTGACGGTGGCCGCTGTGTTCCGGGGCCGCATGTCCATGAAGGAGGTGGACGAGCAGATGCTGAGCGTGCAGAGCAAGAACAGCAGCTACTTCGTGGAGTGGATCCCCAACAACGTCAAGACGGCCGTGTGCGACATCCCGCCGCGCGGCCTCAAGATGGCCGCCACCTTCATTGGCAACAGCACGGCCATCCAGGAGCTGTTCAAGCGCATCTCGGAGCAGTTCACCGCCATGTTCCGGCGCAAGGCCTTCCTGCACTGGTACACGGGCGAGGGCATGGACGAGATGGAGTTCACCGAGGCCGAGAGCAACATGAACGACCTGGTGTCCGAGTACCAGCAGTACCAGGACGCCACGGCTGAGGAGGGAGAGTTCGAGGAGGAGGCGGAGGAGGAGGTAGCCTAGGTCTGCTCCCTTCACTTCCTGTTTGCCCCCCACCACCCCTAGGCTGCTGACCTCTGACTCCTGAGAAGCTTGCAGACCCCTGCTTCACCTGAGAGCCTGACTCATCTCTGACCATCACCTTCACTTCACCTGACCCAACATGAATTTGGAGACCACAAGCCTCACTTCACCTCTGACGCTGGCCTACCTTTGACCCTCAATTCCACTTCATCTCCAAGCCCCTGAGTTCCTCCAACTCTAACATTCACATGAGCCCTGCTTCACCTCAGACCTGGTTAGCCCTACCTTGAACTCACAGCTCTCCTTCTCACCCATGAGCCCCATTGCACCCCCAGACCTATAAGACCCGGTTTACCTTGAACCCTGCCCTCTAAGCCTCACTTCACCTCCAGCCTGAACTTGCCTCACCTTTGACACCGGTGAGCCACTCCAACCCCACTATTTCGTTCCTGGGTTTGCTCCCCTCGGGTCCTGCCCACCTGGCTTTCCAGGGGTGTAGAGCCCTGAAGCATGTGGGCATGAAAAGTTGCACCTCTCACTGCTCTCTGCTCCGGCACCATCAATAAATGAATTAAGTGTCCAGCACTTCCTCCGTGTGCGTTTCCCTGTGGGAGGCCAGCAGCAGGGACCTCCCCCATGGGACGGATGTGGGCATTGAAGGGCATCTGATCAGGGGAAGAGGGCAGAGATCTTGGAGTCAGAGAGACCAGCCTGCACCACCCACTCACAGTGCTGTTGAGTAAGTCCCTCCTCTGAGCCTTGATCCCCCCTCTGTAAATGGGGGTCACATCATCCCCCGCCGCCCCCACACACCCACCTCAGGAAGCTTTGTGAGGATTTGAGGTCTCACAGGCACCATCCCTGGCATGAGAGTGGGCACTTGTGAATGAAACCACTGCCATTCTCTTAGCCACTTGATGGGGCCTAGCAGAGGATTGATCCGGCTTAGGCTCTTCCTAAGCATTAGGTGACGTCCCCATGAGCCTTCATGGGGTTGCTGAGATAAAAACCATGTCTGCTTATGTTACACAGGCAGAAAATGATCTCGAGAACATTCCACCTAGGTTACATAGCAGAGATATGAATTCTTTTACCTCTGCCCCCATCCGCTTGTCACTGGGGTTTGTCCTGAATCAGAGTGAATTTTAGAAATGAGGAGGCACGTGGGAGGGCTCTGTGGCATCGGAGCCGGTCCTAGTCCAGTTCCCAACGACTGGCTGGCTCATCAACAATAGATATTTATTCTCACAGTTCTGGAACCTGGAAGTTTGAGAGCAAAGCATCGGCAGAGTCTGGTAAGGGCCCACTCTGGTTCAAGGACAGTCCTCTCTCTCTGTGTCCTGACATGTGGAAGGAGCTAGGAGGTTCTCTAGGGGCTCTTGTGAGGGCACTAATCTTATTCATTAGGGCTCTGCCTTCATGACCTAATCGCTACCCAAAGATCCCACCACCTAATACCATCACATTGGGCATTAGGATTCAACATGTAAAGTGGGGGTGGGGGGAATATATTCCCTCCATAACACATTCTGAGAGGGAGAGAAGGAATTCCCAAGTACTCTGCATCCCCTCGTCCCCCTCCCCAGTCCTGGCTGGGTTCAGCTCCCCCAAGAGAGAAAGGAGGCACCAAGAATGCACCTTATGCATCTGTGTCTTAGCTGGAGACTTTGGAGGTGTGTGTTGGGGAACAGGGTGCATGTATGTGTTCATAAGCTTGTGCACCTGCTCACAGACCCTTCTCAGTGTAGAAGTAACTTGTACCCACAATCATATGGACACACACAGAGCAAGAACCCCCACCATCTACATCTGATGGACAAGACACAAGGTCCACAGGCACACAGATCTATCCACTTTCACCCCCGGACACCCTGGGACACACCAAGCATGTCATCTTACTCAAATGCATGCCAGTGTCCACACAGACACTCCCAACACCTTACAGGAGATCACGGTGTCTGCAGTCTGCTGTGTTCTGACTCCCTGAGCCTCTCTGCAGGACTTTGTGTGCATGCTTGTGGCTGTGATAGGGTTGTGTTCTGCCTCTGTGCTTGCAAGTATGTCTGTATAGCTTTGAGCTGCAATGTGACACCTGTCTGCCTGTGTGTGTGTCTCTCTCCAAGTCTGGAACTCTGGGTGCACCCAGCAGTGGCTCTCTCCATGCAGTCACTGCTGTGGATCTGAGGCCGGACCCAACCAGGTAGGCCCTTTTGTTCCTTTGTACTTACTGTTCTACCCATGTCTGTGTTCTCTCCTCCCCACCTAATTTCTCTGTTACATTGTTTGCATCCATGGCTATGGTCCCTGCCTGTGTGTCCATCTGTTGCCTCTGTTAGCTGAATGCACCCGAGCACTATCTCTGCACATCCATTGTCCCCTAGAGCAAGCCTTCTCCCTTGCTGTGACAGTTCTGGCCATAGGTCACTTGTTGTGTGTGTGTTTGTGTGGGTGTGGGTGTGTAAGAAAGAGAGAGACTGTGTGGTCTATCTATGCCTGTATGTGATTGTTGTGGTCAGAACCACATGGGGTCTGTCCACTCTCCAACCCAGCTCCCTCTGGTGGTCCTTCAGGGAATAGCCAGTGGGCCAGTATGGACAGATCATGAGAAAGAAGAGTTGAGGAAAGAGGAAGAAAGCTTTTTAGGCAAACTGTGAAGCCCTGGCTGCCACAGAGAGGGGACGGCTTGTGCATGATGACTAAGACCAGGAGGGACTCATCCTGACAGGACAGGACGGGGGCTGGCCCTGAGCCTGCACCTCTAACTGCCCACCCAAGCCTGGGAAGGCTGGGAGGCAGGATGCCTGGGTCTCTTGTAATGGGTGGGGGCGGAGGCCTCCCTCCTGGGACGTCACCGGCTAAACTTCCTCTCTCAGCCACACAGGAAGCAGAGCTCAGGGCCCGGCCTGACTCAAGCACAGGCCCCCAGGACCCCTGGGGAGAGGGCTCCACTGGCCGGCCCTGCTGGGACCATGGGATCCAGAGCTGAGTAAGAACTGCCCCTTCCTCCCTTCCCTGGAGCCAGATTCCCACGGAAGTCCCGGGCTGGGGCAAAGGGTTGTGGGGTTGAGCAGGCCCGAGAGGGATCGAGAGTCACAGAGGTAGGTGAGCGGGTCTCCATGGGCCCCCAGTAAGGCACACTCAAGCCTCTCAGCTCCTCCTTGCTCTCTTCCTGGCTCTGTGTGATGATGTTTGCCACCCTGAGAGTGTGCGTCTTGGTGTAGCTAAGTGATGGGGAGCAGGGCTTACAGGGGGATGGGAGTCTGGGGGTCTCCGTGTACATGAGTGACTGAATGGTGCTGTGTCTACCTGAGGGTGAAGTGCTGAGGCCCCTGTCAGGTTCTGTGCGTGCTTTTGCCAGGACATCACTTCTGCAGCTATTCTCCGGCCTCTTCCTCTGTGTCCCTGCAGGTCTGACGTTGCTCCCAGCCCCAGTCCCAGCACCCTCCGCGAGAGGGAAGAGGAGGTGGGGGGGAAGGCAGAGATTACAGGGCTCACAGAAATAAGGGAGCAAGCTGCTCTCCTTTCTCTGATGAGAAACTGGGGTTCAGCACCTGGGGGCCCACAAACTTTTGCACGCAGACGCACAGGCAGGGCCCCTGGCTCTCAAGACCACAGGCATCTTCACACCCTTACTCAACCACACGCAGCCATGCAGGAAAATATAGGTGTTACTTGCCCTCACGTTAGCTGGGTCACCCTTACTCACAGCCATGCGTGAAATGTACACCGGATAGTCTTGTGCTTTCGGGTGGATGTTGCAGTAGGATCACACCCCCTCACCCGCGCAGTGTCCCACACACGTCCTGTCTCACTGCACTCCACTCCCAGCGGCCGCACAGACACAGGCAGTGCCGTGTGCTACATGTATAGGCTCTCACAACCTGCACACTGCTGCTACAGCTCTCAGGTCACACACACACAGGTACACCAGTCACACGTGCACATACAATCACTCCTTGTGCAGAGCCCACACAGACGCAACCACATCCCCAGAAGCCAGCCACTGCACCCACTAAGCTGTCTCTTGTCCCACAGAGGGGGTCCCCCTGTCTTGTTTGATTGGTTCTTCGAAGCCACCTGCCCTGACTCCCTGCAGGAGGGTGAGTTGGGGGCCTCAAGTAAGGGTGGGGAGCTGGAGGGTGGGTCTGGACCCCTGAATGTAAAGACCTCCTTCCCCCACAGATCCCCCCATCCTACGGCAGTTCCCCCCAGACTTCAGGGACCAGGTATGCTGTCTGGGTCCTTGTTCCCAGCGCGCCAGGGCCATTGCTGCTGGGGGAGACTGTATGTCTCTGACCTGGGGATGGCAGGCCTGGGCCCCAAGCCTCAGTGAAACTGGAGTACCTGTTTCTCTCTACCCCCCAGGAAGCGATGCGGATGGTGCCCAAATTCTGCTTCCCTTTTGATGTGGAAAGGTACGGAATAAGGAAGTGGACACCCCGGGAGTCAGGGGCTCACACTTCTCAGGGACTCCAAGGGTTCAAACACCCATGGACTCAGATATCCAAAACCCATTCACCCAGCAACATGACACCCTAAAATCTTGGGATGCAGACGTCCCAGGTTCTGATAGCTAGCGGGTGTGTCTGTACATGCAGATGGTAGAGACACAGGAGCACTGTTGAGGGGTTCAGGGAGCAGGGATGCCCGGGTCTCTCAGAGAGTCTTTCCTGCCTCCAGGAAGCCCCCCACCCCCGCTGTACAGCACTTCACCTTCGCCCTGACCGACCTGACCGGCACCCGTAGATTTGGCTTCTGCCGCCTCCGGGCTGGTGCCCAGAGTTGCCTCTGTATCCTCAGGTGTGGGATTCGGGACCTGGGGTGGGAGGGGAGGGGGGTTACCCACTAGGGGACTCCCAGGCAACTGTGCACTCTCTCCGCAGTTACTTACCTTGGTTTGAGGCATTCTACAAGCTGCTGAACACAGTGGGGGACTTCCTGGCTCAAGACCAAGTGAGATCAGGCCCCCCTCTCACAACCAGGGGTGTCAGAGCCCCCACCCCCTCGTGTCCCCAAGCCTGACCCTAGCCCCTTGGCTCCTCCCAGACCTCTCAGACCCAGGTCAAAGCCCTCGGTTTCCCAGCCCATGTTCTGGCTCAGACCCCCCACCCCCACCCAGGTCTCTGAGGCGGAGGAACTTCTTCAGAAACTGCTGCAGCAGCCCCTGCCTGGAACCCAGGACTCAGTGGGTCTAGAACTGGTGAGAAGCCCCAACCCCTGGGTGTCAGACCGCAGGTAGAAGGGAAGCTTCGCCTCAGTCCTGAAGATTACATAACTACCTGTCCCCAGATCAGCAGGATGACCATCTCCAGCGCACAAGGCATCCTGCCCCCTGCTCCGGGGAAGAGCAGACCGGTGAGTGGGGCGCCCGGACCCTGGAGAGTAAGCCACCCGAGAAGGCCAAGGCCTGCCTGACCCGTGCCTCGCCGATCCCCCACCAGCTTTCCAGTTTCGTGGCTCCGGACGCAGACCGCCTGCCCTCCATTCCTGAGAATGTGAGTGAAAGACCTAGCAGGGACCTCTGGTGGCGAACGATCGCGAAACGAGGGGGCTGGTGGGTGCCCGTCTTAGGGTCCCTCGCGCCCAGCGCTGCTCTCCGCTCCTCAGAGGAACCTAACGGAGCTGGTGGTGGCGGTCACAGACGAGAACATCGTGGGACTTTTCGCTGCGCTCATGGCGGAGCGAAGGGTCCTGATCGTAGCCAGCAAACTGAGCACCGTGAGGCGGGGCCGCAGGGCCAGGCGGGCAGGGGTGGGACAGAGGCCTGGCTTCGCCCCTGGGGGCGGGACCACGGGCCGCACTTCTACCTCTAACCCCAGCGGGCTAAATTCTGGCTGGGTCCCTTTGAGGGTGAGGGTTCAGCTGAATCCTAGTTCCGCCCTTATGGGTGTGGGTGTTGGGATGGGGGTGATCAGAGGAGGCTGCGCAGTGGCTCTTTCTCTTTGGAACCGCTGAATTCAGATTCCACCCACTAAAAAAAAAAAACAAAATAAGGCTGAAACCACCCTCCCAGGGGTGAACTTCAGGGAAAACGTCTTGCTCCGCCCCTGGGGGAAAGGACCCGCAGTGGGAGCTGAATGTTGGCTCCACCCACCAAGGGCGGTGCCGGGGCGTGCTCAATCCTGGCCACGCCCCTTTGTGGGTGGGGTCAAGTATTGAAAAACTGCCCCACCCCTGCAGTCCCTAGAGCGAGGGACTGGGACAATCAGTCCTAGCTTCACCCGCTCCAAGTGCTGTAACTTGTCGAATTCTTGGTCTCCACATCATTCCAAAGGGTTTCCACCACTTACCTAGTAGCGGGCGGGGGAGGTTACTGACAGGAGAATGGGGACGCTGGGAAGAGCTGCCGTCTCAGAGCGGGTCGTTGAAGCTAGGGGTCCAGGCCCTAACTCCAGGGGCCTCGCCCGTCCCCAGTTAACATCATGTATCTACGCGTCCTGCGCGCTCCTGTACCCCATGCGCTGGGAGCACGTGCTAATCCCCACGCTGCCGCCGCACCTGCTGGACTACTGTTGGTGAGGGGCGAAGCCTGGGAAGGAGCAGGGTTTAGGGAGGACGGCTGGGGTCCTGGGGAGCCGGGGCGGCACCTGCATAACCCGCCCCCTCGGTCACCCGCAGCGCACCCATGCCCTACCTCATCGGCGTGCACACCAGTCTCGCTGAGGTGAGTGGGTGCACACGCGGTCGTGGCAGGGAGGAGGGAGGGGGAGAGGCTTCTTCCTCTGCATCCCCAGATACCCTTCCCCGCCAGGAATTCTTGGGCTCTGAGCGCCTGTCGGCTTGTCCCCCCAACACAGAAAGTTCGTGAGAAAGCCCTTGAGGACGTGGTAATGATGAACGTGGACTCCAACACCTTAGAGACACCCTTCGACGACGTGCGGGAGCTGCCTCCAGACGTGGTCAGCCTCTCCCTCCCCCACCCTTGGGCAGCGCCTGCGAGGCAGAGTCCGTCCTGCTCAGCGCCTCCCCTTTGTCCTCCAGGTGTCCCTGCTGAAACTACAGCTAAGGAAGGTGGCCCTGGCCCCGGGGGAAGGGGTGTCCCTTCTCTTCCTCAAAGCCCTGGTCATGCTCTTTGGAGGCTACCGCGATGCTCTTATCTGCAACCCGGTGAGCAACAGAGAAGCTGAGGGAGCGGACCTCTCGTGTCCCCAAAGGACACGAATAATGAAGCCTGGAGCTTGCAGAGTGAATACCCTGCACTTGCACTGTAAATGAGTTCCCAGAGCTGTGCCATGAGGTGGATACTGTTATGTCCCCATCTTACCTGAGGGAAAAAAGGTCTGGAGAGCCCCACAGGGGTTCATTTGAAACTAGGACTTTGACCTCACTTTCAACAACACACACCCCAGTTTTCACAATTTTTCTGTGAAAAACTTTGAGGAAGTCTATCCTGGAGCAGTGCTGTTCCTGTCACCTGTCTCGACTTGCTTGACAGCACATCCAAAATCCCCATTCTACCTCCATCCATCCGGGCCTGCCCCCCATTATTGCTCACTTCGATGAGTGCACTGGCCTCCCCCATGGATCCTCCCTCCTGGGCTCACTCCCCCACTCCCAGCTGATCCTCCCAGGAGGGCTGAGAGGTCCCTCTGAAGGCGAGGTCCCATGCTACCTCAGCCCACAGGCTTCCGCCTCCGGGACCCACACAGCCCTGCACAAGATGGGGTACACGGTGCTCACTCAACATTAGCTAGCGATGTGGTAGAGTGAGGGTGGCAGCTAGGATGAGCGCTTCGGTCTTTCTTTAGGGCCAGCCTGTGACCTTCAGTGAAGAAGTCTTCTTGGCCCAGAAGTCTGGGGCACCCCTGCAGGCTTTCCACCAGAAGGCTGTGCACCTGCAGCTGTTCAAACAGGTGCCTGCACCTGAGGGAGAGGCTGGGGGTGGAGGGACTTGGGTCTCTGAGGGCGGCCTAAGGCTGAAGGGGTAGACACCTGAGCCTGAGTCCAGTCGGTGAGGTTAGAGAGCCCAGTGGCACACCTCACTCCAAGTTCCCCGGGGTGGAAGAGGCAGGACTCAATTCTTGGGTCTCGAAAGACAGGACCCCCTGACCTGAGTTCATGAGGAGTAAGGTTGACTTCTAGGTCCCCACGGAGACAGGGTAGGAACAAATCCTTGAGTCCCTGAGGGGCTTAACTTCTTGGGTGGAGGTGGAGGGGAAGGTGGACTGAGACTCCAGGTTTCCAGAGTTCTTGGGGGTGGGGGGGTATGGCCCACCTCTTCAGTCTGAGAGGCAGTCTGACTTCTGCACCCCTGTGCTTCAGTCTGGACCCAGAGTGCACAGGGAGAGGGTTGAGGCGGGCTTCCCATCCGGGCCCCTTCGGCTAGGTCTCTGTAGGGGCCAGAGACTCCTAAGCCTTAGAAATGAGCAGAACCTTAGGCTTTGTTGCCAGATGGGTCGGTGGCAGTCACATCTGACTCGCTGTCCCCTCCAACCCCCCATTTCCAGTTCATCGAGGGCCGGTTGGAGAAGCTCAACACAGGAGAAGGCTTCTCAGACCTCTTTGAGCAGGAGATTACCCGCAGCGGGTCCTCCTCAGGTGAGCCCTGTGCCCCGGGGGCCCCACCACAGGTCCCTGGCCTGAGACCTGCCACTGAGACCACTCTCATTCCAGGCACACTGCGCTCCTACCAGCTGTGGGCGGACAGCCTAAAGGTAACAACCCCTGACCTTTGTTTAGTTTATTCTAGGACACATTTAATCCCCGACAGTCTTCACTTTGCTCCTTTGTAGACAGAGGGAAGAAATGGAGACTCAGAGAGGGAAGGGGATGCATCTGGCCCCACAACGTCCAGGGGTGGGGGTAGTATCTGGGGTCACCCTTGGGGCCTCAGCAGTGACCGCCCTTGGCATTTTTTCTCCCCAGAAAGGTGGCGGTGCCCTCCTACATTCGGTCAAGGCCAAGACCCAACCAGCCGTGAGGAACATGTACCGCTCGGTGAGGCTGGACTAGACGGTCCACTTGGGCAGTGAGAGTCCAGCCCTTGCAGTGGCAGACATTTTAGCCCCAACATTTAAAATGCAGACACTTTTATCAGAACTGAACCAGTGACTAACAGTTCTTCCCACTTTTATTTTCCAATCACATACTCGTTGGTGTCAGCAGCATTTTTTTTTTTTTTTTGGACTTCTCAGGATCATTTCTTTCCCATTTAGCATTTAACAGCCAAGATTGATTAGTGAACATCTTTTGTCCTCAAATATTACAATCACCTTTGCAGCTCAGAATTGTCGACTTCATTTTACTCTGCTCAACTTTGGAACACAGACCATTTTTCTGATTCTTTTTTGCCACTTCCTGTTTCATTTGGGAAATTGATCTTTTATATGTTCATCAAAGGAGTGAGAGCTTATATGACCTCATACATAAAGCACACGGAATTGTGAATATACTCGTAAGACGCAAACATCAACACAGGACAAGATGAAGCTGGCCTAGAGGATGCAGGGCAGAGTTCCCGAATGCCCCTGGTCACGTCCCCTCTAACTCCTGTTTGGCTCCTCCACAGGCCAAGAGTGGCTTGAAGGGTGTGCAGAACCTTCTGATGTACAAGGTAAGGCCAACACCCCAATGGCTTGGGTGGAGGGGCAAGGGCCCCTGGCTCATCCACCCACCTCCTAGGATGGACACCCTTGCATGCAGAGGGGGGGCTCCCTGAGAGTCCCCAATCTCACCAGCCGCTCAGATCGCCTGCAGCAACGCCTGCCTATTACCCAGCATTTTGGACAGGTAAGAATGTATGCCCACCCCCAAGGTACACACCTGGATTGATCACGGAGCCGCCCTCCCTCACTCAGTTCCCACTCAGACATCGTCCCCTCCAGCTACCCAATACTTGGTGGCTATTTCACACTCACCCTCCTCCTGAACGTCCCTGATTCTGCAGTGCTGAGGTTCCACCCTCAACCCCCCCAAATTTATCCTTTGCAGAACCGGCCCCTGCGCCCCAGCAGGAGACACCGACCGGAAGAGAGAGCTTCTGAGTTCCTGGGAGAACAGTAAGGCTCAAAGGCGGGAGAGGGCAACATAGATCAGAGAGTGGTCCCCAGCCCTGAGCCTCCAGAGCAGCTGGGCCATGACTGGTGGTCTCAGGCAGATAGTTGAGACTGCCCATCCCTCCCCAGGACATCCCCCGTGAGCAGTGAGGACGGCCCGGATCCGTGGGCAGAGGAAGCTCTGGACAGCAGCTTCCTGGGATCTGGGGAAGAACTGGATTTGCTGAGTGAGATTCTGGACAGTCTAAGCACAGGAGCCATGAATCCAGGCAGCCTGCGTCCCAGCCAGAGCTTGGACTGCTGCCATAGAGGGGACTTGGACAGTTGCTGTAGCCTGGTGAGAGCCCTTCCTCCCACCCCACCGTGCTCCTCACTTGCCCATCCCACTTGCTAGGTCTTCCCTTACCTAAAGCCAGTAACTTACCCATCTCCCGACCCTACCCCAGCCGGACATACCAGGAAGACCAGTATGGCAACCAGATGATGAAGAAGCTCTAGAACCCCAGACCCTGTCTCTGCCTGCCAGCCTGCAGTGTCTGCAACCCCTCCAGCCTGCGGACGCCACCCTCTCCTCACAGAACCGCACCTCGTGGCTTCCCTCAGAGGCCAACCAAGAAATAATTTCTCCATCTCAGTCTTCACTAGCATCTGTAGACCCAAGCAGCCAAAGGGACCCTAAATTCCCTCTTCCAGAGCCCCAGCCCCTAGTCCTACATCTCTCCCCTCCCCACAAGGTAGTTGAAGATCCCAGAGCACAGGAGACGCCCGACTCCCAGCTCACCACAACACCGAACCATCCAGAAAGTCCCCAACCTCCAGCCCTGACAGAGCCCAGACTGGACATTAACTGGACAACCCTTGATTCTTCCTCAAGTCCTGGCTCCCCAGAGCACCCCAAAGCTCAGTCTTCCAAGGTCCCGCTAGCAGAGAATGTTCACGTCCAGTCCCTAGAGGGACAAGGAACACCCAGAACTCCTGTGGCACCCGCCAGCACCTGGAAGGAGCCCCAGGCCAGGGGTCAGCCCAGAGTTGCTGAGCTTAAAAAGTGTTTTGAAGGTTAGGGATCAGGGGTCTGGAGGGGACCCCAGGCCTTCAATAAAGCCGCAAGAGCCCAAACCTGTTTTTTCCTAGTGAGTTTATATGGGGGTCCTGTATCTGCTCAGAAACCTACCTCATCCATCACCTCCCCCTCCTGGGGTGGCCTCCAGCTGGCTCCTCGTAACACCAAAAAGCCCTCTCTTCCAGGAAGTTCTCCCCACCCTTAGGATCCTTGCAGCCTTACACTTCATCTCCCAACAGTCTATGAGTCCTGCATTGACCTCCTCCATCCTGCCCCACCAGCTCAGAAAGGCTTTATTATATTTCCCCACCAATTATAGATATAAAATGAGCGGCACCGCTTTCCCTCGTCCCTAGGAGCAGCCTGCGAAGCGCCTCCCCTTCTATTCCTAAGCACTGTGGGGGGCTGACCGCCCAGAGAGGGTTCTGCCTTCCCCCAAGTCCCTACAGCAAGGAAGGGAGATGGATAAAGGGGACCTAGATGGGCAGGCATCCCCGCACCTTCTCCTTGGAGTCCTGGGGAGCCCGGGCCTCGGCTGCATGGGTGAACTGAAAGGAAAGGAAGAGGGGGTGGTCGGGCCTGTGCAGCGGTGGGTCAGACAGCCGAGCAAGGGTGCTGCAGCAAGCGGGGAGGTGGATCCCCAGCCCCAGCGCCCCCACGTGCAGGTGGAGTCAAGCAGAGGTGGCATGCTTCGCAGAGCCCACCCAAGAGGTACCCAGTGGCCCCCCAAGTCCTCCTGAGCCATCAGAGGCCGGTGTCTCGGTGGCAGCTGCTGTGTGTGAGCACGCGCCGGGCAGTCCTGGACAGTGGTGGCAGCTGCAGCGGGCCCCAGAGTTCAGATGAGTCGCTCCTCGGGTGGGAGCTTGAGGTTGGGGGGCGGTGGCGCGCGGGCACCCACCTGCTCCTCACTGCTGGGCCGGTAGGTCCCCTCCGTCTGCCGCTTCTCTCGAAGTTTTCGCACCAGCAGTGCCAGCCCCACAGCGAGAAGCAGAGCAGCCAGGAGGGAAAAGACCACGATGATGGCGGTGATGGCCTCCTGAGACTGCAGGAGTGGAGGTCATTGTAACTCCTGAACAGCAGCTTGTCTCCCCCAGACCTCCCGCATGGAAAGCATGTAGAGTCCTCACCCCCTTCGTCATGACCACCACACGCACACGGGTGTGCGCACCCCACCTGTCACCTTCAGTGATCGGGTTCCTCCACCCAAGACCCCTGACCCCCATGTAATGCTTCTGGGGTTCCCAGACTCTCCCACCAGCCACGTCTAGGACCCCCCTCCCAAGCACCTGCCACATTCAGGCTCCTAGGACTCCTCTTGCCATGCTTGAGAAGTATAAGGGACTCCTGAACCCCACCCCCATGCTTGCTGTGTACAGTATTCTTCGCCACCCCCTTCCTCAAACTCCCTAGTCTGGGGCTCTGGATCTCCCTATTTGCCATTTTGGTATTCTGGTGTCTCCCACAAGGTTATCTGGCTCCCTCCACCCCCAACCTCCTACCTCCGTGGGGGGAGGTCTGTGTCCCTTCCACCTGCTACACAAAGAACTGCAGAATGACAACACCTGCTGCCCCCAACTTACCAGGCCCCCATTAGAGCCGGAGCCTGGGTCAGGGGTGGTGATGGTGCTATTCTCATTTGCACGGGGGTCCAGTGCTGTGGAGGGAATAATGGGTAGAGAGGGTAAATGAACTCCCTTCTATATTCTTCCCACCTCAGGCACCTGCACCGTCCCGAGGCGTACCCCTTCTGATTCAGAATGCTGCCCTCCTGAATTTTCATTCTCGTAAAGATTGTGGGTATGGAGCTCCAAAACCAACTGACTTTGCTCCTCTGGCTACCACTAGCCCAGCAGGTCCCTGCTGCTGGAAGAAATCCACTAAGAGTACTTTGCATTTCTGCCTGAATTGGGGGCTGTTATAATAAGGTTCCAGAAGACCAGCCCTTCCCCCCCCTCCCCTCCCCTCCCCTCCCCCACCGCTCAGCCCTCCTGCGGGCCTTAAGGAGATGGGCGGATCCTGCCTTTTACCCTGCAGTGTCTGACTCACTCCTCCCCCCAGGCTCCTGAAACTAGAATATAAGGCCCACACCTAGGGCCAGCCTGATCAACCTGGGTTCTGAGCTCCAGGCAGGTCTTCTCCAGGCTTTCGATCTGTCCAAAACACCCCAATTAGACGGGGCACTCACTGTTCTCTCCACCCAGCTCACAATCCCGCCCGGTTCAGGAACCCAGGAATTCTCCTGACCAACTCCCTTGGTCCAAAAATGGCTCAGAATTTTTGACCCCCAGCCTTGATCCGGTAGACTCCTGCTCCCCTTAAGTTATCCCATGCTGGCCCCCAGTTCCTGACCTCTCAGGATCCCAGGTAACCAGAGCTTCTAAGGCCCGCCCCCAGTGCCTTCCCCCACCCCCCCACCGGTACCTACTTAGCCCCCAGACCCGGCTCCAGCCGGTGTGCAGCAGTTGCAGGCCGAGGGCGAGAAGCAGCCCCAGGCCAGGGCTCGCCATGGGCCGGCGACGGGCTGGTGGCACCGGGGACCGGGCTTCTCGCGCGCGCCGTTCTACCGCATCTCCCGCCCGAGGTACCTGCGACCGGCACCTGGGGGAGGGAGGAGAAAGGCCGGGTCATGGGGAAAGGGGCTGGACAGGGCGCAGGCCCAGGGGAGGGACACCCGTACCAGGGCACCCTGGAGTCCCGCCCAGTCCCCGCCGCCAGAGGTCAGAGATTAAAGATTAACTCCCGGCTGGGGAGCATTCTCTTGCCGGGGAAAGGGAAGAGGGGAGGGGGCGGCAGCTCAAGCTACGCGTTCTATCTCCCTACCGGCCCCGGGAGTCTCCGACTTCGCTTGGGTTCCTGGCCCGAACGTCTCGCTCGAACCCTCGAAGAGTCCGTCGGTCGCTCGATCGGACTCCACCAGCTCCGCCCGCTCACGTGACCCGGAAAGTTTAGTCACTTACCTGGGAGGGGAGCGCACTTCCGGCTTGTGCACCTGAGCCTAGATGAGAGGGCGGAGACTCGCGGGGGTGGGGCGGAGCCAGAGGCATACCTGTAACGGGAATGCAATCCTGTAAAGGGAGGAGTAAAACGGGGTGGAAGCGCGCAGGTGCAAGAGAGACTTTCCACCTGTATTGCGGACGCAGCTGTAGGATCGCACAGGTGTGGCGACGCACCGCGCCGGTGTGTGGGACTCTCCTGTCTGGGGGACCTCAAATAAAGAAAACCTGTATGATATATACCTGTAAACCTCTACAAAAGACCTATGCACGGATACATAAGAACATCTATAGGAGACAACTACATTGAATCATACCTATTTGGTGTAGACTGAATGGAAGCATACGCGTGTAGAAAACTGCTACATAGAACATACATGCGTCATGCCAAACACCGGGTTGAGGGACTCTAATATAGATACACCTGTTTGGGAAGTGAAACTACATGGCTTACTAACACTATGAACAACACTTGTATGAAGAATTGCTGTGTGGAAATGTATTGGAAATACATGTATGAGATGTGCCTGTACTTAAGTATTCCTGAATGGGACCCAGTTCATATGGCTGTAGATGTAAAGGGAACAGAGTCGTGGGGGATGGGGGGAGAGGGATATATAACTCATTTCTGGATAGAGGAAAACCTGTTGAGAAACATACCTTTGAGGTATGTCTGAAAGACATCTGCACAAAATTGAACTCAAAGGACTCAAAGGAGAGGGAGACATGAGAACATCAGTATAGGGTACAATCCCATAGAAGCACGCCTGACTGAGGGGGGCATCAGGTCAGAGGCTCAGGTGTACAGAGGCTACTTGTCATATAATCAGGTGCATCTGTGAGACAATACTTGCTTGGGGCGTCTCCTTGGGAAAACATCTGTATCCCCTTTGCTGCAGAGCAGTGGCAAGGACTACCTGCGAATGAAAACATCTCTCCATAAGGGGCTCCTTTTCTGCACACACCTGTCACAGCACACCTGTCCGAGCAGAGCTGAGGGGGAGCCAGATGTACCCTTAGGGCTGTATCTTTGGCTAAAGGACGATAATAATACGAGTCCTCCTGGAGTTTGTAGGGTGAAGAGTGACGGCGAAGGGAAAATTAATGCCTACGAGAGCATAGAGTGATGGGTAAGAATCCCAGGTTATTTAATCCCTACATATCCCAGGACAGGTAGACTGGCAAGAGCATTTAATCTCCGGTTTCCTCACCCACCTTATAGGGTTTTGGCAAGGAAGACACAAGAGGTGAGTAAAAGGTCTGGCATGTACAACCACTGAATCAAACTTTGAAGCTGTTATTATTCACAGACGAGTGGTCTGGGTACTCCTCCCCCTTATGGTGAAAAGAGAAACTGTGCCCGAAAACTAGTGGGAGGGACATTAGGCAGGTGCAGTGAGCGCGTCGGGCGGGGGCTCCGCCTTCTGCGCTCGCCTGCTGGGTCCTCATCCCCAGCGGTGCCCGGGACCCTACGGCTTCCAGACCCGCGGGCGCTCTACGGAAAGAGCGGTCACTCGGCCTAGGAATCCAGCCGCGGCCTCTTTAAGACGCCCAGCGAGCCCGGAGCGGCTGGACCCTAGACTGCCAAGGATCGGCCGAAAGGCCCCGCCCTGGTGGATGCGCAAGGCGGGACGGGCGGGCGCAGCTCTGGAGACTTTGGCCAATAAGAAACAGATTTTGTCGCTGCGCCGCGCGTTGATCTTCCGTTTCCCCCTCTGAGTGGGATGGAGAAAGGAGGCGTGCGGGAGGGATGAAGAGCGGCGTCTTGATCATCTGTTTCTGTGGTGGAGCCGGGAATGTGAAATGAGGGGGCGGGCAGATGGAGAAAGCTCGGTGGCTCAGGAATACTTCTTGAGTGTACCTGGAGAAAGCGAGAACTTTAGTTCCTAAAGAGGATTATTAGGGGAGGGAAGGAAAACGGAAAGGGTTTATGAAAGCCAATCCCTGATATTTTCTTTGTCCCTGTGGTCACAGGGTAAACTGAGGCACACAGAGGCGGACCTCAGAAAGCAGAACTGAGACCACTGACCCCTCTGGCAACCGCTCCTCCCAGAATGAACCCTTTGCCCTCCAGATTGTGCAATACCAGAACACCCCCAACACACACCAGCTCCGCCCCTAGCCCCCACCCCCTCGGCGGGCGGGGGGGAGGAGACTCAAGTTCTGGCGCGGGCGGCGACGGCTAGCAGTCACCGCCTCCTGCAAGTGCCAGAGCCGGGCGGGCAGCGCGGAGGCAGCAGTGGCAGTGGCCGCGGAGCTGGCCCTGCGGGGCCCCGGGGGGGAGGGGGAGCCGCGAAGCCCCCGCTGAGGCCGCCGTTGCCGGGCCTCCCTCCCCCCCACCCCCCTGGCGGGCGCCATGCGGGGGGGTCCGAGTGATGCCGAGCGGCGGCAGCGCTGGGGTCGCCTCTTCGAGGAGCTGGACAGTAACAAGGATGGCCGCGTGGACGTGCACGAGTTGCGCCAGGGACTGGCCAGGCTGGGCGCGGGCGACCCGGACCGTGGAGCCCAACAGGTACCCCCTGCCGGGAGCCCCCGCTGGGAGCGCTGCCCTGGGGCCGGGCCAGAGCTGGGTAACCCGAGCTCCTGAATGGAGCGCCTGGAGCTGTCAGGGACTGCGTGTGGCTGGACACCAGGACCTGAGACCAGCCTGGGGGTTCTATCCCCTTTCCCCTGCCCACTCATTCCTGGGCCTAACGGGCTTGCTCAAGAGACACTCCAGGCCTGTAATTCCCCTTCCAACACCCAATTCCGTACACTTCTCTATACTTTGCCCCCCCACCCCCTTCTGTGGGGGGACATTTGCCAGGGAATAGAGCCAAGTTAGTTTTTCTGGCCACTGAACTGGACGCACTTTCTGATGAACTCTGCCCAGCCCAAGACCTGCCCAGCTCCCACCTCCCAGAGACACACCTCCCCACCCTCCACTGGAGACCCAGTGCCCTCCCAGCCAGCTGCCCTAGCGTCTATGTTTACATTCCCTGAGCTGCCCTTTCCAGGGCCTGGCTCAATGCCCCAGACTCAACCAGGGATCCCATCCAGTCTGATGCTCCCCTCAGCTGGGGGCGCACCTGTCAAAGAAGGAACTTGCCCCTGCCCCCAGGCAGGTGTGACCCACATTGGTAGCCTCAGATACCATTGGCGTATTTCCACAGCATCCTGAGACCTCCAGTATAATCTCCCACTTACCAGATGAGAAAACAGAGGCTGCTGAGCTTGGCTCTACCACTGCCCCTCATGACCCAGAGCTGTCTCTAAAAGGAGCTCCCCAAACTGCTATGTGGACAGGTTTTTGTAAGAGACAGCTGGAAGGACAATCTTTCCAAGGCAAGAGCCCAAGGCTACCTAATCACTTCCCAGCCCTGTAACCTTGAACACATCACTTGACCTTGGAGAACTCAGTTTGCTCACCAGGAAAACTGCACAGCTGCCGGCCACCTCACAACCTACTGGCCTTGGACATCCTGCTCATTGAAGGAGGGTGATTTCCTCTGTCTCTGTCGTCTAGGCCCTGGGGGCTCTTTTCCTGGGACATAGTTGCTAGTTGCACCCCTTCCAGTTTGGGAAGCAGCCTCCTGGAGCTCCGTGTGGCTCTTCCCCTCTGCCAGGGCATCTCCCTTGAGGGTGACGCTGACCCAGATGGCGGGCTGGACCTGGAGGAGTTTATCCGCTACCTGCAGGAGCGGGAACAGCGCCTGCTGCTTCTTTTCCACAGTCTGGACCGGAATCAGGACGGTAAGGGCCAGGGATGGGGCTGTGCCTGCCCCACTCCCATGCCAGTGGGGTTAGAACTGGCAGCACTTGGAGGAGGGGAGGGCTGATTTTCCCTGATGACTCATAGGCTATTTTGGGAGCTCTCCTTGCCCCCACCTAGGTGGTTTGAGGCTCAGCCAGCTGATCCCACCTCCTTTTTCAGTCACTGGTGGGACCCCTTAATTTTTCAAAGGGGCTAAGATTTCCCCCACATTGCTCATGGGATCCCCTTGGGACATAGACCCCTCCCATAGCCTCTGCTGAATCCTCATTTTGTCTTTTGATCACCTCTGGCTAATGATCCCCCTAATTATCTAGATTCATGTATTCTTTCATGGAATAGAGGAACCCCCAATATTTCCCAGTTCCATTTCTCTGATCCCAGTGGGAGCAGGGACAACCCCCCACCCTGTCAAAACGTCACCCTGGGTTGCCAGACCCCCTGGCTTTGCTAGACCAACCATTCCCATTCCAAGCTGCCCTGCTCCTCAGTCCCAGCATTCCCCAGGGCCCCCACACACCTTTCTGCACCTTGGGTCCCCTCCCCAGGTCACATCGATGTCTCTGAGATCCAGCAGAGTTTCCGAGCACTGGGCATTTCCATCTCACTGGAGCAAGCGGAGAAAATTCTGCACAGGTGAGTAGCTCAATGTCCGGAATCCCAGTAACTCAATCCGTGTGGTCCCTTAGTCCCTTGAGCCCCTGACCCCAGACCCAGTCCCAGGGAGAGTGGACAAGAGAATTTGGCCTTTGGAGTCTGGCAGATCGTGGGCCAGTGGCTTCCCCTCCCTTACTGTCTTTGTCCTCTGTATCTGTGAACTCTCCGCGTAGAGAAACTATCTTTATCCCACCCCAACAGAGCAGACCCCCTGTCCGCCCCACCCCAATCCCAGGCTCTGATTCTGTCCCACCTGCCACTCCCCCAGCATGGACCGGGACGGCACAATGACCATTGACTGGCAGGAATGGCGTGACCACTTCCTGCTGCATTCATTGGAGAACGTGGAAGATGTGCTTTACTTCTGGAAACATTCCACGGTGAGGGAGAGGGGGCTTTCCCATGGGGGGGGAGCGTGTCTCTGTTTCCCCAGGGCATGGAGGAACTGATTCAGGACTCTAGAAAGGGGACCACTGGGAGCATCTCTCTTCCTCCATTTGGGAATTGGGAGACTTGGGACCCATTTTAGGAAATCTCTGCTCCCTGACTGGAACCCTTCCAATTTCTGCTGGACTCCTGGGGGCAGGTTGGGGGTGCTAGGAGCACAGAGTAGAAAGAACTCACCAGATGGGACACCCGGCCTCCAACCCTCCACCCACACACAGCTCCACTTCTGCTGGTTTCTAGCTGTCTCATTAAAGGATACTGCTGCTGAACAGACAAGTTAGAAAATCCCTGTCCTCAGAAGACCCCAAAGGCTTCAGGGGAATTTGAGGGGAGGGGTGCTCTAGGTCACCAGTTTATGGGTGAGAATCCCTGAGCAATGCTTCTAGTAAGGTGGTATCTGCCGGGGGATTCACCTGTGGGATGTGAAGGGGCTCTCTTGGGAGATCCGGAGAGCCCCACCCTGGGGAACCCACGAGGGCTTGGCTGGAAAGTCTAGAAAAGAAGGATGAACCCCATGAGGGCAGCACTGTGGGACCACGATCCTCTGGGAGGGACAATTTGGTCTCCTTTTTCGAGGAGTCTCTGGTCAAATCCGGAGGAATCTTCTGGAATCCTTATACGGGGAGACCCTTGAGTGGGATCCTTCAGAGGGAACTGATTGACCCTGGAGGGATCTTTATGGGGTTGATGCTTGTATAGAATCCTTTGATCGGTTTTGGCAGAGATCCCCAGGAGAGTGGTTGAGGTCCTATTTGGGTGACCATTGGACTGGATAATTTGGTGTAGCAAGGTCTAGCCTAGGAGGAATCTCCCAGACTTTCCAAGTGACGCTCATTGTGGGGGCCTCTCTGGGTACCCCTGGCATTCACAGGGGATGCCTCATTTAGAACAGTCACATCTCCCCACCGCCACTATGACACTAGACTCCAACCCCCGCGTCCTCAGGTCCTGGACATTGGCGAGTGCCTGACTGTCCCCGATGAGTTCTCGGAGCAGGAGAAGCTCACGGGCATGTGGTGGAAGCAGCTGGTAGCAGGTGCAGTGGCGGGTGCCGTGTCGCGGACTGGCACGGCGCCCCTGGACCGCCTCAAGGTCTTCATGCAGGTGAGCAGCCCTGGAGAGACTCATCCTCTCCTCCAGGCCTGGGCCCCAGGAGGGGACCCCAAAACCCCCTTGTCTCCTCTCCTAGGTCCACGCCTCCAAGACCAACCGACTGAATATCCTCGGGGGCCTACAGAGCATGATCCGAGAAGGGGGCGTGCGCTCCCTGTGGCGTGGCAACGGCATTAATGTGCTCAAAATTGCTCCTGAGTCAGCCATCAAGTTCATGGCCTATGAGCAGGTGGGGGTAGGCCCAGGGAGGGCTAGCCGTGCGGACTTGAGGGGTTGGCTTGGGGGTGGGGGGTTTCTGCAGGTCCCCAGGAGTGGGTGCCTGCTCCCCATTATGCCACAGCAGGAGGTCAGTAGCGAGTGGCCTCAAGGGCTCAACCCCTGGGGTGCTACCTCTGTCTCCCTCTTGCAGATTAAACGGGCCATCCGCGGGCAGCAGGAGACGTTGCACGTGCAGGAGCGCTTTGTGGCGGGCTCCCTGGCTGGCGCCACAGCCCAAACTATCATTTACCCCATGGAGGTGAGAAGGAGGGGTCGGGTGGAGGCTCCATCCCAGGGTGGGGAGCTGCACCCCAGGGTGTGCTCAGCACTGGGCCATGGTGACTAGGTGTCAGCATGTAGATGTGACCTCCAGAGACGGTGGTGTTGACTATTTAGATAAATTGTGTGGGCTGGTCATTTGCAGGCAAGCCTTTCTGTGGAAACTGATTTCCAGGATGTTTGTCCCCAGGGTCTCATTTCAAGGTGAAATTGTTTCCAGAGAAATCAAGCTTGTATAGTGTATCAGTTAGGATTGTGATGGAAAACTCAGATACCATTGCTGTAGCCTGGAGGTGAGCAGCGCTAGAGACCGGAGCCTTCCCTCTGCCTCATTGTTCTAGCCCCACAGCGTGTAGTGTCCACCTCACAGAGCAAAATGATTGCTTCTGTTCCGGTCATCGCGTCCACACTCCAGCCTAAAAGGCAAGCAAAGGACAGAACCCCTCTCTGCCTTTCCAGAGCTTTCTGAATGGCACGCACACACATCTTCTGTTTCATTGGCTAGAGCTTGTCATGTGGCCACTCACCTAGGGCAGCAGAGAAATAGTCTTTATTGCAAGAGGCTGAGGGCTTGCTGAAATATGTACTTTGTATTCTGAAGGCGGTAAGTAGCAAGAGGTTGGGAGGCCTCCCTGGTGCCACATATTCTTAACGCAGGTGTATTGGCATACGGGGATAGAGTCTGGGATGGAGGGAGCATCTAGAAAAATTAGCCTTTTAATGTAACCTCAGTCATGCATGGCTTGATGATATTTCAGTTGACAACAGACCGTATATGTGACGTGGCCCCAAAAGGTTCTACAATATAGCTGAGGCTTGTGGTGGGCTGGACCACCTAGGTTCTGCAATTAACTCTGTGACATTTGCAAGCAATGGAATTGCCTGACAACATGTTTCTCAGCACATATCCCACTGTGAAGCCATTCACGACTGTTCTTAGGGTATCTCCTTCAAGGGGGTGCTGTCTAGGTGTCTCCTTCTTGAATGCACTCATTTTGGAGGCCGCTTTTCCAGGGGTAACTAGATTCTCCATAGGTGCTGAAGACACGGCTGACCCTCCGGCGGACAGGCCAGTACAAGGGCCTGCTGGACTGCGCCAGGTGCATCCTGGAGCGAGAAGGGCCCCGAGCCTTCTACCGCGGCTACCTGCCCAACGTGCTGGGCATCATCCCCTATGCGGGCATCGACCTGGCCGTCTATGAGGTCTGTGGGCAGCCTGCCCTCCTCCTCCCTCCCTCTGCTGGGAATTACCACAGGACACCGCTTTCCTGCGGGTCTGTCTCAGCTGACTTCCATAGCTAGGGGACTTCTCCATGGATGGAGAAACACCATGGGCACTGGACTCCCGTACTTAGCACTGAGAGAAGCTCCCACTTGCAGCTCAGCCTGTGTGGGCTCAGGACACTTGAGAGTCGGGGTCCAGCCCAGGTCTCAGCAGCCCAGGAGCAGGGAAAGCTGAACCTCCAAGGTGCCCATTTCCCCAACACGTGTCTTGAACCTGGCCTCCATCTCCAGGTGAGAGTGAGTGTCCTTTAGGGACTGCCCACTTCCGCTTCTGCCTTTGGCATCTTTGCACCAGCATCTTGATTGGGAGAGGCAGGAATGGGGTGGGGGTTTCTGCTGTTCTCCGCCAAGGAACCTCAGCTATTCTTTCAGTATCTCGCCACTGGCTCACTAGGTTGTCCTAATTAGCATAGGTCCAGAGGCCCCCCTCCAAATCTTTGACTCTAAGACAGGGCCAACTTCGTGGGCATCAGTCACAAGGATCCGTGTTGAGTGTAATGCTCTGCTTCATGACTTGAAATTCTTAATAAAACAGGACGTGTAATTGAATGGAATAGTGGGCAGAAAAGGGGGTTGTTTAAGAACACCTCTTAGACGTGACATTGGCGCCGTGAGTTCGGAGGGGATGGGAGCAAGGTAAAGGCACAGTGAGGCAACCAAGCAGGGACACGAGTGACTGGTTGAAGGCAATGGGGTCCTGCGGCCAGGAGGGACTGGAGAGGCAGCGAGGACTCAGGGAGGACGAGGTGAATTTAACTCAGCTGCAGTAGGGAGCCGTAGAGTATGAGAACGCGGAAATGAAATGCAACCTTGCTTAATCCCAGTCTTACTAGAAGAGGGAATTTGAGGTCTGAGAAGTTTGAGAAAACCTGGGATCTCTTGGGGGTTCAACATTTATGTTAGTTTCTGAAAGGTCTGGGAAGTCCCACAGAATAATGATCTTTGATTTTTAGCTTTATTTTTTTTACTTATGCATACAATAACCGAGGTGCAGAAGTGAGAGGATTCACCGGAGATAGAGTGGGGAGCAGAACAGGTGTATCTACAGAAATACCCTGCTGAGGGGAGCAGCGGGGAGACAGGAGAGGTCTGCTGCACCACATGGGTCACTCCCTGGCTGGCTAGTGAACTTGTAGCAGAGAGGCTGCTGACAGCTTGATAGCACTGAGACTTTAACTCCTGCACCACCAGGAAGCCTGGTTTTTAACTTTTTCAAGCCCAGGTTAGCTACAATGATCTGTTCATCAGAATTTCTTTCAATTAGACAACACTTAAAATTCAGTAAACATCTATTTAATAATGCTCCTTCAGAGGCAGAAAAAAAAAAAGGCTATTAAAATTGCCAAGGCGATAAAGGTAAAACCCTTGATTCCTATTTGCCCATCCCATGCCCAGGCCAGACATCACTAATACATCACAGCATAGAGTTCCTCTCAACACAGTGCCAATCAGCCATTACCAATGGATTGGAACTGATTAGGGAGTGAAACCTCTGAACCACACCAGTCCCGAGGCAACAAAGAAGGCCCTGACTTTACAAAAGTCTTGCAGAAGGCTTCAGAAGGGACTGACCAAGTACCCAGTTCTGGTGGTGGAGATGACTCTCAATGTTGATTTCACCTTAATTTGTGATTTGGGGCAAGTAACTTCCCTTGAGCCTCATCAATAAAATGGAGCCAAGAATAATATTGATCTTAGTTCGAAGCTTTTAAAATTGTTTGAGGGGGTAGTGAGACATGGAAGAGAAGACCATCGAAACAGGAGCATGGAATAGCTTCCTAAGGCTGATGTAATGAAGTGCCACAGTGGGATGTGCAGAACAGACCTTGTCTCAGTTCTCTGGGCCAAAAGCCCAAAATCAACGCGTGGACAGGTCTCCCCTGAAACTCGTGGGGGAGAGTCTCCCCTTCCTCTTCCGGGCTGCTGGTGGTTGCCAACAGCCCTCCACCTTCCTTGGCCTGTACTACCTCATCTCCACGTGGCTTTCCTCTGCCTGTGTCCGTGTCTTTCTCTCCTAAGAAGACTAGTCACTGCGTTCAAGGCTACCCTCCTCCATAGAACCAGGCCGTAGCTCATTACTTCTGCCGAGAAAGTGTCTCCTCATAGTTCACTTCCCCAGGGCTGGGGGTGAGGACTCCAACCCATCAGCAAAGCTGCCGTGGAGGCCATGGCGCTCAGTTCTGGAGCCGGCCCAGAAGGTGCCCCTAGCTCGGCACTTGGGATCGGTACGCCAAGTCCATCCCGATGTTCAGGACATAACATCCGTGGGGGGCAAGTTGTCCTGCACAACCTTCCCCCTCCCCCTCCTCCCCCCCAACCCAACCCCCGCCCCTCGCCCCACGCTCATGTGTTCAGTGCAGCCTTGCCTTGGCCCAGAGAAGGCCTCAGGTGTGGCTTGCCGGCTGTGGGCGTGGCAGGTGCCCAGTGGTGAGGGAGAAGGGCTGCTTCCTGCTGCAGATGAAGGTCTGAGGTCAGAAGGGGGCTGAGTAAGCTACCATCAGGTGTGGGCTGGGCTGTGTTCCTGCCAGAGCTTCAAGAAGAGAACCTGTTTTCTTATCTCTTCCAGCTCCTGGCAGCACTCCCGCATGCCTTTCTCCATCCTCATTATTTTGGTTTTTATTTCCTTTGTTTCTTAAAAAGATTTATTTACTGCCTTCTTCCTCAAAGCATAGCACCCCCTGCTTCCTCAAAACACACGCACCCCCTGCTTCCATCATCACATCTCCCCTCTTTTGAGGGGCCTTGGGGTGACATTGGTCACCTGGACACTCCAGGATTATCTCCCATCTCAAGACTTAATCCTGTCAGCAAAGTCCCTTAAGCCACATATGGTAACGTGTTCGCGGGTTGCTGGTAGCAGGGCCCGACCGCCGTCCCACATACCACAGGGTGGAGGTGAGGGCTGAGAGAGCAGGTGCGGGCAAACCCCCGGGGCAGCCCCTGGAGGCATGTAGTGCTCAACAGTCTGGGCCCCCGGCTGGCTGGCGGGCTCTTGCAGCCAGGCTCTTAGTGTTACCCCCTTGCACCCACCCCGCTCCCCTCTTCACCCCGCCAGACCCTGAAGAACCAGTGGCTCCAGCAGTACAGCCGTGACTCAGCCAACCCTGGCATCCTGGTCCTCCTGGCCTGTGGCACCATCTCCAGCACCTGTGGCCAGATAGCCAGCTATCCCCTGGCCTTGGTCCGGACCCGCATGCAGGCCCAAGG